GGGAGGCTGAGGCAGGAGGATCGTTTCGTGTTCAAGACCAGCATGGGCTACAAAGTGAGCAAGGCCAGCCTGAACTGCAGAGCGAGACCTTGTCTCAAAAGACAAAAAAAAAAAGTAAACTTAAAGATCATTATTAAACTGGAATTTAATTTTTAAAAAATTATCTCTAATACCTATACTGACTTGTTGCAGATTTTGGAATCTGAGAGTTCAAAGAGCTCCATGGAGTAACATTTACACTGAAGAGCACTAAATAATTTACAAACATCAAACATTCAAAATTAAAAACCCAAATTAAAATCTTTATGGTGCCTATAAAAAAATGAAACTGTTTTTGGTGGCACACACCTATAATCCTAGCACTTGAGAGGCCGAGGCAGGAGGATTGCTGTGAGTTCAGGGCCAGCCTGAACAACCTACTGAGACCTTTTCTCAAAATGAAACAAATCGTGACTTTAAGGAACTTATGGACCAGGAAGAAAAGCACATAAAACGTGGGCTATAATGAAAAATACAGATACAGTGTTATGGCAATTAAGAGGCAGAAGTTATGCTATGTTGGGCAAATAAAGAAGAGTTTCATGTTAGGGGGTAAAAATAAAAGCATTTCATAGAGGAAGTTAACACCAACAAGAAAAGATACAAGGTTAGGAAACTTACAGGTGATATTAAAGACCAGACTCTAGAATACCTATTAATATAAAGAGAAGAAGAAGAATGGAAACTAAGAAAGGTTGGCTAGGGTCAAATAGAAGCTGTTCAATGTCAAGTTATTTTCCATTCTATTTTATAGGCAACAGAGAGTCTTTGAGATAAGATCAGAGATGTACTTGAAAATGGCTCACCTGATCCTGAGGGACAGGAAGGGAGAAAGACCTGAGGGTAAGTGGTAGAAAAGTGATTAGTTAGGAAGCTACCTCAACAGCCTGAAATGAGAGCTCATAAGCCATGAACTGAGGTAGAAGGGAAGAAATTAGAAAACAGACAGGAAAAACAGGTGAAAAGAACAGAATTTTAGCATCCTAACCCGTGTTGGGCACAAGCAAGGATAGAGTGAAAGTAGGGTTGAAGTTAAGCCCAGGTAACTAGACACTAACGGTACATTAATGGCAAGGGACAGGAAAGGAAAAAAAAGCAGCGCAAATCTGGAAATAAAAATAAGTTAAATTATTTCAATTGTTTCTCCCACTAATATGGGCAAGCTGTACTTTGTAACTCTGATGGTAAATAAGCAGTCACTGGCAGTAGGAAGTAGAGATTGATGAGGTAGTCATTTGAGACTGCTGATTTCTACTTAGAAAATTTAAAGGATGCAATAAATGATCAAGTTTGCTCCTCTCTTACTGATGCCTAATATTTCTCTACTCATGACTAGGTAGCATTTATTTCTAAGACTGAGGACAGTATAAGCTAAAAGTAAGGACATCCATGTGACTTATTAGAGCTCAAGTGATGTGAGGGTTCCTTACAGTTATGGAAACAGAAAACAGTTCCTTGGAAGAGGAAAGTATACTGTTTGTCTTTTGACCAATTATTGAAGAATATCCATGCACCTCTTGAATACCCATATGATTAACAGAATTGAAGACTAGCCCCTAGGTGCAAAAAAATCTAATATCAGAATAAGCTAACAGAAAAGAAGTATGACAAATTTCATTTCCAATGTGAAAAGTGTTACTTATAAATACGAAGGGAAAAATCTGTTTCAAAAACTCCTTAGTTGGCGGGATTGTAGTGCCTGTGTCTGCTGTCTGGAACTGTAGTAAAACAACCACACAATGACTGGTCCAGTTTTCAGAAATTTATAGGTGGCTGAAGCTCATCTTCTGAGAGGGATTCTTGTTATGAAGATGATCTCTGAATATTTATCGTTTTTCACACAAAAGCCCTTGTTTATCTTTGAACCATCCAGGAGCTTTTAAAGTACTTCTGAAGTCAAACAGGACAACAAACTCACACCCATTCCTCAAAATCCTACTGGCCTTACCTGGCTGCTGCCTTGCTCAGTAGTTCAGTCCATCTACTTTCAAGACTTGCTAGCTGTCCAGTGATTTTCTCTCTATCAGCCAGCTCAGCAGACTGGGCTATTCTGTCTCCTTCGGCTTGAAGCATGTCTACTGTGGCCTTTCGGTCATCTAGGAGCCGTTGGAGCAGCTATGGTACACACGTGTGAAAATAGAAAGGTCATCTAAAAATCTGAAATAGGTACAAAAAAACAAAACAAAAACTCTACCCTGCCAAATCCTAAAACTAATTGAGTAACGCAAGTTTTTCCATCCTTGAGGCAAACACATGAGGCACAATATACTTCCTACTACCCACACAAACGTTTCATATGCTTAAGTTTTTAAGTGGAGCTGTGACTGCCGTTATGTGATAAACAGGAAGCTTCCTCTGAATCAAGAGAAAAGTGAGGTGAGAAATTAAGAAAATCATTTTACAATGTGCATGTAAATCAAAACATCCACTTCTACACTGTAAATATACATAATCCCTGTGAGTTATACCTCAATAAATCTGGAAAAATTAAAATTTCTTTTGAGGTAAACTTTTACAAAAAAGAAAAATGCAAGCCAGGTGTGCTGGCTTGCACCAGTAATCACAGCACTTGAGAGACTGAGGTAGGAGGACTGCCACGAGTTCAAGGCCAGCCTGAGCTTACACAGTGAGTTCAAGACCAGCATGAACTAAAGAGGGAGACCTTGTCTCAAAAACCAACCAACCAAATGAAAAATGCATTAAAATAGAATTAAGCTAACAAAAAATACATATACAAACTTGTATATGATATGTTATTTAGGCTATTTCTAAGCCCAAAACACCAAAAGACTCTTAACATAAAGCTGTGAATGAAACACTAACATAGGATACATGAACAAGTCCATTTGTTCGGTCTAACATATGCCACAGTAATCTAACAGATTTGAATAAGATGATTAAATTCAACTTTTACCTTTCTGTTCAGAATGATACAAAGTAGGCTGAGATTCCACTCAACCTCTTGACTCACTCCTTAAACTATAAGCAAATATGTTGTTTGGCACTCCCCATTCCCTATAGCTGTTTTATTTCACTGTCCCAGCACTCTTACTTACCTTCTGCTCTTGGATCTGTGCTTTCACCACTTTATACTCAGCAGATGGAGGTTTCTGATTGGCTATGAGCTCCTCAGTGTCTGCCAACCAGCTGAGCAATGGCTCTAGGGCATCTTGAAACTTCCCACAATGCAACAAGGCCTCCTGTAGTTGTGCAATTCTTTGAGCAACCTGTGTCACAGACATGAGGTTCATTATCAGAAAGAGCAGTTTTTGGGGGCTGGGGATTTAGCTCAGTGGCACAGTGCCTGCCTGGCAAGTGCTAGGTCGAGAGTTCGATTCCTGGTACCGAAAAAAAACAACAAAAAAACAAAACAAAAACAAAAAAAGAAAGAGCTGTTTTCAAGTAACTACTGATACCTTTTATAACTGGATTTCAACAGCTAAATTTTTATTTGTGCTCAGGTTCCAAATTAACTTTTGATTTAGCTGTTCAGATGTCTGCTAATCCTAGCACACTCACTATTTCCTTGCCACTCACCTTTTTATTCAGTGTATTCCATCGAGCATTGATCTCTTCCATGTCATGTTCTAAACCTTGCACGTCACAGTTCTTTCCTGCGCTCTGAATTAATCCCTGGCCAAGTCCATTCACTTGCTGCAATTTCATCTGAAGAGGATCCACTTGTTCTTTCTGAAACATCTGGATAATTGCAAATCAAAGATTTAATTTAAAAGCTATCAGGCCCTCTACATCATACTGGTTATTCTTGAGAGATTTATGAGTTAATGAAGGAGGGCAGGGAATAAAAAGAAAACAAAAACAAAAATCCCCAAGTCACTGCACAGTGAAGTATAATGGAAACGTGTCTTTCACACATCCTCCTATAAAAATGTAATTACAGAGTCACAGCACTACATATATATAGGTCTTTAACCCAATGACTCATGTGTTTTTATTATTTTGCTTTTTAATGCAAAAAACTATATAGAGCTGCATCAGATTCAAAATATTGTAAAATAAGTGCAAACCATATGAATCCTAAACAGGATGAATGATACCAAGTGATGAGTATTTAGGATGAAAAGTATCTTAGAGAGTAGACTGGACCGATCACTAATAACAGACAATGTTCTTCTCTTACTAGGATCAATAAATCAATTAGTCAAAGCACACTAACAGTGTGAAGGAAAAAACACCAACCTCATAGCTTAATCCCCCTTGTGGCCATTTAACTCTACTCTTGTCTCAGGGCCACAGACCACACATAGCCAATAACAGTATTCCTCTGATTACAAAGGAAATGGGGCCCAGTAATGCTGGGAAATGTCCTTAACATCTTTGGACACATTCTGAGCAAGATGCAGATAAAAGGTGATGCTGTGTATCAAGATCATCCTCTTGGGTAACGTGTGTAACAAGCAAAGCATTTACTTTACAATAGCTAAGGACTATTACAACTTAGACATTTCTATCAGGAAACAAGAAGAGTCAAAAGAAAATGGTCCTTTTATAAAACTAAGGGTCTAAAGAAAAGAAATTAAAGCTTTTTCACTAAAATCAGATTTCTCTCTATTCACCAGGGGATTAAAACCAGTTATATTCCACTAGTCTAGACTTATTTCTGCTCTTTTCTTCCAGGAAAAATTCCTTCAGTTTCAGTGAAACAGGTGAGTTGATTAAAGCCAAAAGATGACAACAAACGGAAGATAGAAATAAATGTGAAAGAAAATTACAAGTTTGGATGACTAATTTTGGACTATGTGAGCCCACACATCATACTAGGATTAGGAATCTGACTCCATAAAAAATGGCTGGATCTGTAGTCAGCAGAAAGGGAAAAAGCCCTAGGAAACACTGAACAGGGCAGGTCACAAAGGTAAATACTAGTGCACTCCATTTTGTACTATAATTTGATGATATCATATTTTGTTAGGCAACACTACAAGGCAGTTCAGCTAAAATAATAGTTTTTCCAACATGGTTTCCAGAAAGAGAAAGCGCTATCATCCCAGTGTGGATCATTAAAGATGTTTTCACCAAAGAAAGCCAGAAGGGGGAACCTCCCAAGTTTAAAGCTGCTTTGCTGCAATGACATCATGGTGAATGGGGCACGGGGGTTGGCAAAGCAAAGAAGGCAGGGAAACAGGTACAGAGGAAAGGTGTCAAGTCCACACTGAAGTCCCTTTACCCAATAACCACTTCCACTCTCATACCTGTAACTGTCATTTAAATTCCTTCTGTGCTGTCGACATGGCAGCCAGCAGCTACATGTGGACAGCTAGTACCTACTGTAAGGGGTCATAGATAGAGAACATCTCCATCTTGGCAGGAAATTATACTGGCCAGTGCTACAGATGACACAGGAAGACAAACACAGAAATTCTCATGAATACTTTAACTCTTTTTTTTTTCTCATTTTCTGAGACAAAGACTCGTTGTGTAGTTCAGGCTACTCTTGAGCTCACTTGGTAGCCCAGGCTGACCTTGAACTTGCTGTGGTCCTCTTGCTTCAGCCTCCCAAGTGGTGGGATTACAGGTGTGCACCACTACACCCTGTAAAACTCTTTCATAAAGTACAGCCAATTCTTTAAAACTCTGGGTTTATGCCAGGCACGATAGTACATGTCTGTAATCCTAGCACTTGGAGGCTAAGGCAGGAGGACTGCTGTGAGTTCAAGGCCAGCATGAACAAACAGTGAGACCCCACCCCAAAAAACCAAAAATAAATAGTAAATTTTAAAATTTGTTTACAATCATTTCCTACAAAAACATTCAGTATTCCTTCGTTTCTCACCTCTACTCTGTGGATTAAGTTGGCAGGGACAATGGGTATTTTTCTCATCAATTTTGAGAAGCTGAAAGTTGAACAGGAAAGCATTTCTAAATAAACATTACCTAGATTTATTTTGAACATGAGCAGAGTATTAAAGAAAATAAATCTAAAAACACTTGCTCTGTTCTCTTACAAATAAAGTTTTCCAAAACCAATGTTTGCAGATACACTGAAATTCCTACTCCTTAGTATTTCAGTTAGTGAAATGAGACTGTTTCATGTTATTAACTAAGCAGTACCGGCAGATAGTTTTCAGGGCAGTACATTCGTGAAAATTACTGCAGTGCAATAAGATGCAACTGGGGCGTAAAACAGGAAATTCCCAAAGAACTTCTAAAAACATGTTCATCTTTGGTGATACTGCATTCTTTCAATTTTACTCTGACTGATCTTTTTTTGATGTCCTTTCTTCTTTTTCCTTCTTTTCCCATCCCTTGCTCCAAAGGCTGGAGTCTCTGGAGATAGGGGAGACGAAATGATGTCAGTCATAGGCCCTCTTCTTTTTATACTCTTCTGGGGCAATACCATACATTCTCATGGCTTTAAATATGAACCCTGATAAATGCTTAGGAGTCTCAACTTCTCTCCCTTTTGAATTTCAAATCTATTTATCAATGGCTTTCTTACTGCCATACAAAATGACTTTCAAGCATCTTGAACTTAACAGTTCCAAAACAAAACAGCATCTCCTTTCCTGTCTCTGAAATTTGTTTTCTCCACTAAATTGATAATTTAATACTGCCCTATCCACTTAGTTGTAAAAACCAGATTAAGCTATCCCCAATAACTCCGCTCCTTTACCCCTAACACAAAAGATATTACCAATTATCAGGTCTTATTACTTCTTTCAAAACACTTGAGTCCATCCACTGTTCCTTTCTTTTTTATTTTTTATTTTTTATTTTTTTGGTTTTTCTCCGGTACCGGGAACGGAACTCACGACCTTGCGCTTGCCAAGCAGGCGCTTTTTGCCACTGAGCTAAATCCCCAGGCCCGAGTCCATCCACTGATATCCACTCTTTTTTTTCCAAAGTGCTTGTCACAGTTTAATGTTTATATGAGTCTTATTTTTTTTTTGCTTAATGTCTTGCCTCACCCACTATGCGAGTTCCACAAGGGCAGGAACATGCCAATACTATAAAGGAGTGCAGTACCTGGCACAGAGTAGGTACTAGATAAATATTTGTTCCATGGATGAATGATTCCTTGTATAGAAATGGTGTTAGGGAAAGCAAACACACCTATGAAGGTCCTGTGTGGGAAGCAGCTGAGCATTCCCACTGAACTGGTACGCTGATGCTCGCCAGTTATTGCTTAAAAAAACAAACAAACAAACAAACAAACAAACAAAACACTCCTTTGGAAAAGTTTAATGTTACAGAACCTCTATTTTATTAAAATTTTTTTCCTTCCTTTGAACTAGTGACTGGGACTAAGAATGAAGAAGTCCACAAGTGAGGAGGAGTTTAACTACAGACTGCTTTCACTTGGCCTCAGGTCCCACTATAGAAACACCATACTCTGCTGCTACTGAACAGAAGGAAAAAAAATACACACGTGTGTGCACTTGTACATACATGTACACATACAGATCTCAAATAGTTCACTCTAAATCATATTCCAGGTATGATCATTTATTGAGGTCTATGTGTTGATATATGGAAGTGACAATTTTGACTGTTTTTAAAACATCACTTCACCAACTTAGCAAATCTGTATACTCATGTTAACTCAATAATGATGTTTCAGTATTTTCAAAATAGTCTCTATTTTTTTTGAGACAGGGTCTCACTATGTAGTTCAGGCTGGCTTTGAACTCACCATGTATCCCAAGGATGGTCTTAAAGTTACGGTGATCCTCCTGCCTCTGTCTCCAAAGTGCTGTTAATACAGGCACGGGCCACTGTGCCTGGCAGTCTCTACACACTCTTACTGTTTAACATTCCTGGCCAGGACTTTAGCTTAGGTATTTTTTCTTCTTTTTGGAAAATTTTAGTTTTTATTAGTACGTGTTTGTAGTACATAATGATTACGTCATGGCAAGTTGGTACATATACATAACAGATCTTAATTCTTTTTATGTCCCCTTTCCCTCCTTACCTTCCCCCCAGGTCTTTCTTTTTTATATACAGAGATGTAGGTATCTGCTTGCTTCTAGATAATCCATCACGTAATCACAATTCAAAGATGAGTAACTTTGTAGAGAGCTACCAGTTCCTTTTGTCATTTTATTAGTTAGTATTTTGTAAAATGACTATCTCCTGCAGCTGGTAAGATCCTGAGCTATCATCTAGCTCTATCCACACATTGCAGAAGAGATCCTGGAGATCAGCAGTAAGGATTTCTCTGAATTTTTTCCCCTTACACTGATTTGACTGGCTCTTTAAAACTTAATCTCTGTTACTTCATTAACTGCTTCATGACAGAAATATTTTGTATTATAAAGAATGCCAGTGGTGCTGGATGTGGTGGTGCATGCCTGTAATTTCAGTACTTTGGGAGGCTGGGGTAAGAGGACCACAAGCTAAAGCTTGGCCTGGGCAACTTAGCAAGACAGTGTCAAAAAAAAAAAAAAAAAAAAAAAAAAAAAAAATCCTAGTGCAAAAATTTATTGTCATTGACCTACTGTTTTGACTTTGGAACGGGTACTGGGACCTCAGTGTACTAGAATCCCAAATTCAATAAAACTCAGAAAACAGAATCAAAATCCACTCCACTTAAAAGGTGATGCATCCTAATTTGATGGGATGCTGTGTTAGAAAAGAACTGGTGAAGATCAAAGTAAAATCATTTACCCCGGCAAGAGGATCTGTGGTAAAAGTTGGCACCTTACAGGTCTAATTAATTATTTTATTGCTGTTAGTTG